AGGCATGCAGCATGACAGAAAAAGAATTGAGATTACGGGTCCTAGAATGCATAAACCGGATGGAGGAAAAAATCAACAACTTATGCAAGAAGCAAGAAGAAACAGAAGAAAAAATCAATAAATTATGTAAGAACCAAGAAGAAATGAAGAGTGATGTAGCTGCAATAAAAAACACCATGGAAAGTTTCAACAGTAGACTAGGAGAAGCAGAGGACTGAATTAGCGAATTAGAAGACAGGGAAACAAAACACACCCAAACTGAACAGCAATTGGAGAAAAAAATTAAAAGACAGGAGGAGAGCCTAAGGGAGCTATGGGACAACATGAAACAAAACAACATACGAATAATAGGGGTGCCAGAACAGCAGAAAGAGGAACAAGGGTTAGAAAACCTATTTGAAGAAATAATATCAGAAAACTTCCCTGAGGTAGGGAAGAAAAGTCACACAAGACCAGAGAGTCCCAAACAAGGTGAACCCAAAAAGACCAACACCAAGACACATCATAATTACCATGGCAAATGTTCAGTACAAAGAGAGAATCTTAACGGCTGCAAGAGAGAGACGGAAAGTGCCATTCAAGGGATCTCCCATTAGATTATCAAATGATTTCTCAACAGAAACACATCAGGCCAGAAAAGAATGCACAGAAATATACAAAGTGATGCAAAGCAAAGGACTGAATCCAAGAATACTCTATCCAGCAAGGCTATCATTCAAAATTGAAGGGAAAATAAGAAGCTTCACAGACAAAAAAAAAAAAAGGCTAAGGGAGTTTATCACCACCAAGCCAGAAATGCAAGAAATACTAAAGGGACTGGTGTAAAAAGAAGAAATAAAAAGCTCAGAAAGAAAACAGCCACAAAAAATAGAAATAGCTACAAACAAGTACCTTTCAATAATAACTTTAAATGTAAATGGACTAAATGGTCCAATCAAAAGACATCGAGTGGCTGAATGGATAAAAAAACATGACCCACATTTGCTGTCTACAAGAGACCCACCTCAGAAGAAGGGACTCACACAGACTGAAAGTGAAGGAATGGAAAAATATCTTTCAGGCAAATGGAAATGAAAAAAAAGCTGGGGTAGCAATACTTATATCGGACAAAATAGACCTCAAAGTGAAGGCCATAACAAGAGATAAGGAAGGCCATTTCATAATACTAAAGGGATCAATACAACATGAGGATATAACCCTGATAAACATATATGCACCCAATGCAGGAGCACCCAAATTCATAAAAAAACTCCTGGAAGATATCAAAGGAGAGATCGACAACAATACAATCACAGTAGGGGACTTTAATACACCACTGACATCACTGGATAAATCCTCTAGACAAAAAATCAGCAAAGAAACAGCAATCCTAAATGACTCACTAGATCAGATGGACGTAATTGACATCTTCAGAACACTTCACCCCAAAGCCACAAAATATACGTTCTTCTCAAGTGCTCATGGGACATCTTCAAAAATACACCACATATTGGGTCACAAACAAAGTCTCCCCAAATTCAAGAAGATTGAAATCAAAAAAAGCATCTTCTCAGACCACAAGGGCATAATATTAGAAATAAACTACAATAAAAACAACCCAAAATACTCAAACACTTGGAAGCTGAAGAGCATGCTACTAAATAATGATTGGGTTACCAATGAGATCAAAGAAGAAATTAAAAACATCCTGGACACTAATGACAATGAAAACACAACAATCCAAAACCTATGGGACACAATGAAAGCAGTCCTGAGAGGGAAGTTTATAGCTCTACAAGCCTATCTCAACAAACAAGAAAAAATGGTAGTAAATCATCTAAATCTACATCTCAAAGAATTAGAAAGAGAGCAACAAGAAAAGCCCAGAGTGAGCAGAAGGAAGGAGATAATAAAGATTAGAGCAGAAATAAATGACATAGAGACCAAAAAAACAATACAGAAAATCAATGAAACCAAGAGCTGGTTCTTTGAAAGGATAAAAAAGATTTATGAACCTCTAGCCAGGCTCACCAAGAAGCAAAGAGAGAGTACTCAAATAAACAAAATCAGAAATGATAGAGGCGAAATAACAACAGACCCCACAGAAAAACAAATGATTGTTAAACAATACTATGGACAACTCTACTCCAACAAATTAGACAACCTGGAGGAAATGGACATATTCCTAGAAAAATACAACATTCCAAAACTCAATCAGGAAGACTCTAAAAACCTCAATAGGCCAATAACTATGGAAGAAATTGAAGCAGTCATCAAAAAGCTCCCAGCAAACAAAAGCCCAGAACCAGATGGCTTCACAGGGGAGTTTTACCAAACATTCAAGGAAGAACTAAAACCTATCCTCCTCAGACTACTACAAAAAATTCAAGAGGAAGGAACACTTCCAAGCTCATTCTATGAAGCCAGCATCACCCTAATACCAAAACCAGGTAAAGACAACACAATGAAAGAGAATTACAGGCCAATATCCCTCATGAACATAGATGCCAAAATCCTCAACAAAATCTTAGCAAATCAGATCCAGCAGTACATCAGAAAGATCATACACCATGACCAAGTAGGATTTATCCCTGGGAGGCAAGGATGGTACAATATACGCAAATCAATAAATGTGATACATCACATAAACAAATTGAGAGAAAAAAACCACATAGTCATATCAATTGATGCAGAAAAAGCATTTGAGAAAATCCAACACCCATTTTTGATAAAAACTCTCAGCAAGGTGGGAGTAGAAGGATCATACCTCAACATAATAAAACCCATATATGACAGGCCCACAGCCAACATCATACTCAATGGACAAAAACTAACACCATTTCCCCTAAGAACAGGAACAAGACAGGGATGCCCACTCTCACCACTCCTGTTCAACATAGTACTGGAAGTATTAGCCATTGCAATTAGACAACAAGAAGAAATAAAAGGCATCCAAATTGGAAAAGAGGAAGTAAAACTGTCCTTATTTGCAGACGACATGATATTATACATACAAAACCCTAGAGACTCCATCAAAAAGCTACTAGACTTAATACATGAATTTGGCAATGTAGCAGGATACAAAATTAACCCCAAGAAATCTGAGGCATTTCTATACACCAATAGTGAACTTTCAGAAAGAGAGATTATAAAAACAATCCCATTTACCATCGCACCAAAAAAATTAAGCTACCTAGGAATAAGCTTAACTAAAGAGGTAAAAGACCTCTACTCAGAAAACTACAGGACGTTGAAAAAAGAGATAGAGGAAGACATAAACAGATGGAAGAACATACCAAGTTCATGGATTGGTAGAATCAACATCATTAAAATGTCTATACTACCCAAAGCAATCTATAAATTCAACGCACTTCCCATTAAATACCAACGGCATATTTCACAGATCTAGAACGAACTCTCCAAAAATTCATCTGGAATAAAAAAAGACCCGAATAGCTGCAGCAATCCTGAGAAAGAACAAAGTAGGTGGGATCTCAATACCAGATATCAAGCTGTATTACAAAGCCACTGTTCTCAAAACTGCCTGGTACTGGCACAAGAACAGACATATAGATCAATGGAATAGAATAGAGAGCCCAGAAATTGGCCCGAACCAATATGCTCAATTAATATTTGACAAAGGAGGCAAGAACATACAATGGAGTCAAGATAGTCTCTTCAATAAATGGTGTTGGGAAAATTGGACCAATATATGCAAGAAAATGAAACTAGACACCAACTTACACCATACACAAAAATAAACTCAAAATGGATAAAGGACTTAAATGTAACACGGGAAACCATAAAAATTCTAGAAGAATCCAAAGGCAACAAAATCTCAGACATATGCCGAAGCAATTTCTTCATCGATACAGCTCCTAGGGCACTTGAAACTAAAGAGAAAATGAACAAATGGGACTACATCAAAATAAAAAGCTTCTGCACAGCAAAAGAAACCATCAACAAAACAACAAGAAAACCCACTGCGTGGGAAAACATATTTGCCAATGTCATATCTGATAAGGGCCTAATCTCCAAAATTTATAGGGAACTTATACAACTTAACAAAAGGAAGATAAACAATCCAATCAAAAAATGGGCAAAGGACCTAAATAGACACCTTTCAAAAAGAGGAGATTCAGAAAGCCAAGAGACATATGAAAACATGCTCAAAGTCACTAATCATCTGAGAGATGCAAATCAAAACAACAATGAGGTACCATCTCACACCTGTCAGAATGGCTTTCATCAACAAATCCACAAACGACAAGTGCTGGAGAGGATGTGGAGAAAAAGGAACACTCGTGCACTGCTGGTGGGAATGCAGACTGGTGCAGCCACTGTGGAGAAGAGTAAGGAGTTTCCTCAAAAAACTAAAAATCGAACTCCCATTTGACCCTGTGATCCCACTTCTATGAATATATCCCAAGAAAACAGAAACACCAATCAGAAAGGATATATGCACCCATATGTTCATAGCAGCACAATTCACCATAGCTAAGATCTGGAAACAGCCTAAGTGCCCATCAGTAGATGAATGGATTAGAAAACTGTGGTACATCTACACGATGGAATACTATGCTGCTGTAAAAAAGAAGGAACTCTTACCATTTGCAACGGCATGGATGGAGCTGGAGAGCATTATGCTAAGTGAAATAAGCCAGTCAATGAAGAAAAAATACCACATGATCTCACTCATTCATGGATAATAGAGACCATTATAAACTTTTGAACAATAATAGATACAGAGGCAGAGCTGCCTCAAACAGATTGTCCAACTGCAGCGGGAAGGCGAGGAGGGTTGGGGGGCAGGATGGAGGGGGGTAAGAGATCAACCAAAGGACTTGTATGCATGCATATAAGCATAACCAATGGACATAAGACACTGGGGGGTAGGGGAGGCCAGGGGATTGTCAAGGGCAGGGGAGAAACAGGAGACATATGTAATACTCTTTGTAATACTTTAAGCAATAAATAAAAATAATAATAATAATAATGAAAACAAAATTGTACTTGCTTACCTGGATAACCAATTCCTTTGGCATTTGTATAGGGAACCCCAGAAGAACTAGGACTATAAACAGGATTCATGACTTTGAGAACTAAAAAAGAAAAAGGAAGATTTAGTCAAACACTATTGTTCTCAGTTTTTCCTCCAGCATCAATCTCAAAAAAAGCAGGTAGTAAGAGTCCTTCCTCTCCTTTACATAAGTAAGGCATCTCATTCTGCTGCCAACCAACAGTAAACAGAAAAGCAACAGCAATGTCCGAAGGCACCCACCAGGACACTAAACTTTCCTTTAAAACTGCTTTCAGAGCATCAGAAGCTAAGAAAAAGAAGTGGTGTTCTCTACCTCCCTGCTTAAAACAGTGAAAAAGAACAACTGTAAATAACCTAAATGTCCTCATAAAGATAAGAATAGTTAAGTAAAACAGATCTACCCAAAACATGAAATATCGGTTCAGTTGCTTTTAAAAATGGTAAGTGAAGAAATACCTGGCGGGGGAGGGGAAGATGGCGGCTGGCAGGACAGGGGTGAAGGAGAGGGTGTGAGTGAGTGAGGGGATGAAAGGAGAGTGTGTGGATGTGTGTGGTGTGTGTATGAGTGAGTGAGGGACAGTTAAATCCAGCAGGAATATCAGAAGCTGGCAGACCAGGCTCTCCTGGACAGGGAACACCTACTACCGCTGCGGGCACTCCCCGGGATACAGGGCTCGGGCACAGAGCCCACGCCATGAGAGCGGCCACTTCTAGGAACCCATCAGCACCACCACCCAGACTGACCTTGGACACTGCTTGTGACCCTGCAGCCACTCCAGCCAAAATCCTGCTGCCCCACCCGCAGACCTGCAGACCCTAGGACGTTCACCTCCAAGGGTGCACGGGTCCCTCAGCAGTAAGTGCAACTTCCCCCTTCCTGGATGCTGACCTCAGGACACCTCAGTTGCACCTTCCCAGCACACAGGCCTCCTGAGCCAACCACCCAACAGGCCGCTCTAGGGTGCCTCTGTGAGCATGGTGGGCATGCTCATATCCAAACAAAGAAGCAAGGCCCCAGCAGTAGAAATTCATACTTCCCCCTTCCCGGCTGCCTGCCCACAGATACCAAGGTCACATGGCTTCAGCATGAGGGCCCCTCTGCGTGTACCACCCTGGCAAACGGCCCTGGGTGACTCTGTGAGCCGCTGCTGGGCGCGTGCGAATCCAATCAAGGGTGCAAGGCCCCAGCAGCAAAAACTGAGTCTTCCCCATCTACAGCTACCAACCGCCGGACACCACGCCTTTCTAGCACACAGGCCTCCTGAGCCCCACCACCCTGACAGGCGGCTCCCGGGTGCCTCTGTGAGGCCCCGTTGTGCACGCGTGAATCCAACCAAGGCCGCAAGGCACCAAAAATTGAGACATCTCCCTCCCCAGCTGCTGACCTCTAAACACCACAGTTGCACCTCTCCAGCATGCAGGCCTACAGGTGGCTCCTGGGTGCCTCCTTGAGCCCCAGATGAGAGCACTCATATCCAAACAAGAGTGCCCCAGCAGTAGAAATTCAGACTTCTCCCTTCACGGCTGACTGCCCACAGACACCACGGTTGCATGGTTTTAGCACATGGGCCCCCTGAGTCCGCCGCCCCAGCAGGCGACTCCTGGGTGCCTCTGTGAGCTGCCACTAGGCACACTCATATTCAACCAAAGGCACAAGGCCCAGGCAGCAGAAACTCAGACTTCCCCCTCCTCAACTTCCAACCTCCAGTCACTGCAGTCGCACTGATCCAGTGCGCAAGCACCCTGAGCCCACAGCCCCAGCAGGCAGCCCCCAGATGCCTCTCTGAGCCACCGAAAGGCACAAACCCTGGATGCCAGCATCCAGTCCATGAAGTAGTGCCAATCCAGCACATGGGCCCCTGAGCCCACTGCCCAAGCAGACAGCTCTTGGGAGCCTCAGTAAGCAGCCACTGGTCATGAGTATCCAACCAAGGAGCATACCTCCCGAAGCAGGAACTGGGATTTCTCCCTCCACAAGGCCGGTGGCACACTACAATCACTCCAATCCAGCGTGTGGGCACCATAAGCACACACCCCTGGCAGACAACTCCTGGTCCCCTCAGTGAGCTGCCACTGGGTGTGTGTCTCTCCAACCAAGGGTGCACAGCTCCCTCAGTCGGATCCACAACATCCCGTCCCGACTGCCTACCTCTGGACACCTTGGTGAGTTACTGAGGGCTCGCTTCCCTGGACAAGGCCACATTGTTTCAGCCACAGACTCCAAGATTCCCACATCCACAGCTGCTGGCTCCTGAACCCCCTCATGATTCAGAGAGGGAAATCATTTTGGCCAGAGTACCACTGTCACGGGCTCTGGGACCCTCATAGTGAGTTTCAGAATGATGCTAATCCAGCAAGAATCACACAACACCAGCCAAAGGTCACAGTACCTGAGTCTCAGGCCCCGAGACTCCTTCCTCCCAGGCCATGAACTCTGGAAACACAAAGTGAGCACATACCAGTGAGACATAAGGCAACCATTTCCACAAGAGCCAGAACCACAATCACATCCAAAACAGCAGACACAATGAAGCCAGGGGTGAATCACATTGCCAATCCATGAAGAGACTTCATCCACGAATAACAAACTAACATTCAAAACCCAAATACATCAAGAGAACCCAAATAACTCAAGTAGGGGGCTCCGCTAGATCACCATACCCAGGAGACATGAGAGACTGCACCACTGAGTCCCAAAAATCACCAACTACATAGCAACACCCCCAAAAGAACCTGGGTAGCAAAGTAGTTGGATCTAAGACATAGCAACAATTAAAACGTTACAGCAAAAAAAATGGGGAGACAAAAAAAATCCCAAAAGGAAAGAAAAATAGGAATCACCAGAACGGGATTTAAATGAAATGGAGGCAAGTAACATGTCAGAGAAAGAATTCAGAGTAATGGTTATAAGGATGCTCTAATGGCTGGATGACAAATACAACTCAATAAGAATTATAAGGAGCTGAATGAGAATGTCACCAATATGAAAAGGACCCAAGAGGAAATGAAGAATGACCTAGTTGCAATAAAGAACAAAATGAAAGTCTTATACAGTAGACTAGAAGAGGCTGAGGACCACATTAGTGAATTAGAAGACAAGGTAGGAAAAAACACACAAAAACAACAGCAACTGCAAAGAAAACGTAAAAAGCAGGAGAAGAGCCTAAGGGAGATTTGGGAAAACACAAAATGAAACAACATTCGCATAATAGGGGTAACAGAAGGAGAGGAAACAGAGGAAAAAATAGAAAACCTGTAAGAAAAAATAATGACAAAAAACTTCCCTGATGTTGGCAAGAAAAAAAAACCACACAACCCCAACAAGCAAATAGAGTTCCAAACAAGATGAACCCAAAAAAACCGTCAAGACACATCGTAATTAAATTGGCAAACATCAATGAGAAAGAAACTTAAAGGCTGCCAGAGAGAGACAGAAAGCTACCTGCAAGGGATCTCCCATGAGAATATCAACTAATTTCTCAACAGAAACACACGAGGAAAGAAGGGAATGAAATTAAATATACAAAATGATGCAAAGCAAGGGACTGAATCCAAGAATACTATACCCAGCAAGGCTATCATTCAAACTTGAAGGTGGAATCAGGAGCTTCACAGAAAATAAAGAGCTAAGAGAGTTTATTACCACCAAGCCAGCAATACAAGAAATGCTAAAGGGACTGCTGTAAAAAGAAGAAATATAAAGGCAAGAAGGAACACAAGCATAAAGAATAAAAATGGCTACAAATAAGTACTTATCAATAATAACATTAAATGTAAATGGATTAAATGCTCCAATCAAAAAACATAGGGTAGCTAAATGGATAAGAAAACATGACCCATATATTCGCTGTCTGCAAGAGACCCACCTCAGAACAAAGGATTCACACAGACTGATAGGGAAGTGATGGGAAAAAAATTTTCAGGCAAATGGAAATGAGAAAAAGCTGGGGTAGCAATACTTATATCTGACAAAATAGACCTTAAAGTAAAGGCCATAACAAGAGATGAGGAGGGCCACTTCATAATACTGAAGGGAGCAATTCAACAAGAGGATATAATTCTGCTAAACATACAGCCACCCAATACAGGATCAACCAAACACATAAAACAACTTTGTAAGATATCAAGGGAGAGATCAACAGCAATACAATCATAGTAGGGGACTTTAATATCCCATTGACATAACTGGATAAATCCTCTAAACTAAAAAATCACCAAAGAAACAGCCATCCTAAACAACTCACTAGATCAGAAGGACTTAATTAACATCTTCAGAACATTTCACCCCGAAGCTACAGAATATACATTCTTCTCAAGTGCACACTGGACATTTTCAAAGATAGACCACATAATAGGACACAGGCAAAGTCTCTTAAATTCAAGAAGATAGAAATCATAATAAGCATCTTCTCATATCACAATGGCATATAACTAGAAGTCAACTACAATAAAAACAATAAAAAAAAATCAAACACTTGGAGGCTAAATAGCATTCAATTAAACAATGATTGGGGTACCAAAAAGATCAAAGAAGAAATAAAAGGCATCCTGAAAACAAATGACAGTGAAAACACAACAATCCAAAATCTATGGGACACAATGAAAGCAGTCCTGAGAGGGAAGTTCATAGCCCTACAGGCCTACCTCAAAAAAACAAGAAAAAAAATGGTAATAAATTATCTAACCTTGCAACTTAAAGAATTAGAAAGAGAGCAACAAGAAAAGCCCACAGTAACCAGAAGGAAAGAAATAATAACGATCAGAGCAGAAATAAATGGCATAGACACCAAAAACACATTACAAAAGATCAATGAAACCAAGAGCTGGTTCTTTGAAAGGATAAACAAGATTGATGAACCTCTAGTCAGGCTCACCAAGAAGCAAAGAGAGAGGACCCAAATAAACAAAATCAGAAATGAAAGAGGTGAAGTAACATCCGACTCCCAGACATACTAACGATTGTAAAAAAATACCATGAACAACTCTACTCCAACAAACTGGACAACCTCAACGAAATGGACATATTCATAGAAAAATACGCTTCCAAAACTCAACCAGGAA